GCGGGTTGGAGTTGCGGCAGGGTTGAACATTACCAACTGCACAAAGTCAACTACCATATTCTGACATGTAAAGGAGAGCAATATTAATTTTACAATATCAAAATAACATACAAAAATTATTTCTCAGATTACAAGATCACCGACAAAAAGTAATAATAACCTCTTCTACACCGATTAATACAACACGTGATACACAATGCAATTTGGATTTGTTATGTTGGCAACACGAACTCGACTCTTGTCGTTTCCACCGAACCCAATTGAACGCTACCCTAAAATTTTGTAGGGTAGAGTTCAACTAAACCTTTGGTGTTTCCACCGTAAAAGCGCTCACCCCAACCCGACTCTAACCCGACTCTGACTCGATTTGAACCCTCGATAGAAACGTAGTCTATAAAGCTTGTCTTACAGTTTTATTTATACACCTACAATATTATTCGATAAATCTTTAACGATTTCGATTTTGTAACTTATAACTTGTCATTTTTATAGATTTTTGTGTACCGAATACAAATCTTTAAACCATTCTTTTGTAGTGCTTGTAACTTTTGAAAAAGTTGATTTTGAACAAAAATTGTAAAGTTCCTTCAAATCTTCAGTTTTGAAGATGTTTATGCAGTCCTAGTAACATCTATTTAGATCCTTTTAATCACCACCTTTTTTATGAATTCTTCTGAATAAAATGTTATATTTATGTCAAGAGAAACTAATATTGAGTTACTAATATTTTTCAATTTATTTCAAAAATTAAAAACCGGAAAAAAATGTAACTATAGCATACGACAATAAGAGTAAACGTTTTCGTTAAGGAAAGCATCAAAGAAAAGTAAAGAATCATATTTCTGTTTACAATATTCAAGCCTAACAATTTGTCGCAACATACAACGGAATTATACGCGATAAGGCAATCATCAAAATTGAGTATCTAAACTATATTATCCCCTTTTTGTATTGAAAACAAAACACATAATGCGATTATATCAGTGGTTCTCAATTCTAATGAACTGTTTGTCCTACATAATGATAAATTATTAAATTCGTATGTTGTAAAAACATATAATTTTGCATTTTGTCTCATGCTTTTCTTAATTGAAACGTTTTCTTTGTTATATGCTATGGTTAGATACGCTTTTAAATTCTTAGTTTTTAAAATAAATTGGAAAATATTATAAAGCATTGACGCGTTTTGTGTGTCTTTCTCATTTTGATCGCAATTTAATATTTAATTATTTATAATGCAATAACAATTTATATAATTTTATTAAAAATAGTTTACAGAATTACTTGTGTTAAAAAGAATTAAATAGCAATTATAATAAATCCACAAAATATTTCTAAACTTGGAAATTTATAATTTTTGTTAATAAGTAAAGCTTTACAAAACTTATGCGCATTATAGAAAAACGGTTTACGTGCTTATATTCGATACAAAAAAATTTCGAATAACTTATTGTAAGTTATAAAATTGATATCAGTAACGATTTATCGAATAATTTTGTAGGTGTATAAATACGAGTACGAATCAAATTTCATAGATGTCATTTCAATCATTTATTTTGTTCAAAATATTCGACAAAATATTATTTTTTCTTTCCATAAACGTAAATAGTAGTATTGAAGAAATATTGCAATGTATATTATGAAATTATGACGTTCGTACAGTACAATTTTCACTCAGAAGTAAGAAGATGAGACGCGGTCTGTGTATCCGGCTAGGAATAACTTTGAGTTAAAAATCATGTAACTTTTGTCTAAAATATTGTTTTGTATTATCAATATTTTGAAGTTATTTGAGTGGATTGTTTTAAATGACATCCAAGAACTTTTTATACTGATATCTTAAAATTAAATTATGGAAATAGAACCTTTTTCAATGGAATATGTGATTGTACAAAACGGCACAATACTGGGGACTATTTCACTTTTAAAAGAGGAAATTAAAACAAAAGTCATAGATAGAATCAGTAATGCAATTGATGAATACATACTAGCAAGTACACAAACAAAAATGTTGTAAAGTTTTGATATATTCAATTCTTAGTTATCTTTATAAGTAGATTTTGTCTAAACCATCTTTTCTAAATATAAGAATTGGTATTAGTATGGTTTTAATTGTTATTAAGATAGGGGATTCTACACAATTTCTATTTACCATTTTGCATCAAAAACTTTAGAACAATATTGTGATCTGACAAAAACAATAATTAAAAAGTTTTCATTGAAAAATCAAATTTTGGGATTGTACTGCTTCTTAAAATCATTGGATTTTTTCCTCCAATCATCTCTTATTCCCAAAAATGAAGTTTGGTTGAAAGTTCAAATGTACTAAAATATATGTTTCTATTCTTGGTTCTTATTAATTTAATCTTAATACTTTTGGATCATTTATACACTCCACCAATAATTGTGCAAAAGTTTCATGTGCTTTTTATTTTAACCACATGTTTAAGGTGGTTGCATTGAAATAGTCAAATCTAAAAGGTAGAACATTGGTAAATATAATAAAATAATTTTAGTCAAAGAATTGGAATATAGTACATAACTTGCAATATATTAAAAAAATTATAATATAATATCATGCAAAGTAAGTAAAATATGCTAACAATATAATATAAGAAAGAAATAAATATGAATGGATGTAAGTTATGAACAAGTGGTGTATTTGTACTTCTTATTTAATTGAATTAAAATATATGTTTTTTTATGATGATTTTAGTTTTTAAGAAAATTTAAAATAGTATACTTGTATTACAATAAAAAATGTAACTATTCCATACGTGTAAGTTTTTGAAACTTTACCTACATATAAGTGTTATTATTATTTACATTCGGTAAATAATAATACTTGTCATATTAAAGTACATTTATAATACAATTAATTTAACACGAATAAAAAATATTTTCACATTTTTTTTAATTTTTATTAATATAATTAAGAAATGTACATTTTATTGCAGGAATAAACATGTTCGAGAAATTTTATGATAAAAATACAATGGATGCACAGAATATAAACTTACAAATAAGATTTCAAATCAGGTACAAAATACTTAGACTAAAAGTCGTTCAATTTCTTGCTGTATGGCTTGAATTTGTGGTTTTAATTGTGATCCTTCATTAACTGTCACAGAACAAGCAACAACGGATCTGGATACACCACAAGCTCGACCTAAAGCTTGTTTGCTTCTAACAAATACGTATGGAACATTTTTATCTTCACACAATAGCGGTAAATGTAATAAAATTTCTAATGGCTCAGCGTCAGCAGCCATTACAATAAACTCTGATAAACCGCGATTTAATGTTTTTGTTGCTTCATTTGCTCCTTTCCTTAATTGTTTATAATTCATTGCTTGCTGTACGAGGTTTAAGATTTTTGCAGTTAAAGTGGCATCTGCTAAAGGATATGCTTTTGGATTAACTTCATCTCCCTGTATAATAAACACAAAACCACATTATTATTTTTCTCAATATTGTAGTTAATTAATAGTATACAAAAATTTTTCACTGAATAATCTTACTAGCAATTTTCATTTAATTATTGTAAGTAATTAATAATGTGCATATGAAACCTAACCTAAAAACTAGCACGTGGATGATGAAAATTATTAATGTAAATATATACTTGCCATTTTTATGGATTAAAATATTTTTCAGAGTATGTATAAAAAAACTATTTTTTATCGAAAATAAATAACCTCTCCACGATTACATTAAAAAATCGCTTCATAGAGGAAAGGACGCACTCGAACCTTCCGGACAACACTGCACTAAAGCGATGGCTGTATGCTGAATGTTCTTGCTTTCGTTTCGACTCGCGCGTCTTGGCTACGCAGTTTCCCCACTATTTATGCTATCCCCACTCATGATTTTCATTTTCTTCGTATGGTATATGCCTCCGAAAAGGTTGAAATTTATTTAATATACTACCTAACGAGTAAATAGGTTTCATTCATATCTGTGACGTAATTGTATGATTCAATGAAATAGAAATTACTTCATTAGAAAATAGAAATTATTTTATACTTTTTAGTGCATTTCGAAGTCGGTGTATTTTTTTTTCTGAAAATTATTTTATTTCACGCTTTTTAGTGAAATGGGGAGAATTGTATAGGATACTGTGAGACAGTTCTTCCGGACTTTTTTTTGTCTGCGTAAATGCCATGAGCATAATTAAGTAAAAGACAACATGGATATTCGTTTTCCAATTTCTTTTTTCGCTAATATCTTGAAAACTAAAGTTTTCTGTCAATTATGCATAAGGAAAAGGTTGTCCACAACCATGCCCCTGACAACATATTAAAAGGACATTAAAATCATTCGAAGTTGATTGCAAAAGTTAATAACAATTTTTTTCGCTAATATCTCGAAAACTAAACATTTCCGCGAAATTTATTTGTATATGAACAAAATTGTTCAGAATCATGTCCGTGATAAGATATT